GAAACAGAAACAACTCTGCCGCTGTACATTGATGTAGATGAAGATGCAGAAGAGCCTGCAGAGTATATAGTGCAAAGTGCCAGCCACATTGGGCCAATAAAGCATCTACTCATAATAGGGCACAGACAGTCCATAGACATAGACTATGTGGTGATAACAGACGAAAATGTAAAGAAGTACCAGCCAGAAGAAGATGCAGACGGAATAACTCTGCCACTGGGACAGAAAGTAGTGAATATGCATGCATTGGAGTCTACAATACTTCCAGATGTAAACTCAGAAGACAAAGAAATAGTGCAGGGGCCTAGCATTGCTCTTGAAACAAATTCTAAGATATTTCTGTACGATATAATGCTCGAACTTGAGAGCCCTGAGAAGTACACTCACACCAGAAGAAAGCAAGAACAAGAGATGCATGGAGGCAAAGTGAACTGCAATGGGGTCTTACCGATGAGCACATGCGAGTCAACTCCTAACATGGCACACACATCAGATACGGTGGCAGAGGATAGTGCTATAGATGAAGATGTATCTCACATTGACAATACTGATACTAATGTGAGTATAAATAATAGTGATAAAAATAGCAGTAATGAAGAGATTGCCATGCCCTCAAAGGGGATAAAATACGGTGATCACAAAGAGTTAGAAGATGGCTTGGACAGTCTTATGGCTGAGATGGAGCGAGAAATTCCAGTTGAAACTTCTGTTGAACAAAAGAACTTCAATATTGGCCCAGAAGAAAAAGAAAAAAAGAAAGTAGAAGAAGAAAAGCCTAAAAAAGCATCACCGCTCAGTCTCTCCTCTCTGACGGGTCTAGTTAGCAGCTCGCCTATGTCCTCACTAAACAGCAAGACAACTGGCACTCCAACTGTACCATTGCACAAAGAGTCACCGCTAGAGAAGCCTATGCGAGATATGCAATTGAAACATGAAAAAGTAGATGAGCAGCCAAAAAGCGATTTACTCGGAGATATTAAAGAAGAAAAGAAGGTGCAGCCAAGGGCTATACCAGAGAAGAAAGAGAGTCCCTTCGACAGAATACAGGAAATGATCGATGGAATAGACCAGTCTCTGAAGAACCCAATTGTTGCAGTAAAAGAGCAGATAAAAGAGATAAGCGAAATATGCAGAAGCTGCGAAGAAGAGCTAGAAACAGTGTACATTCCTAATAGCATTCCTCCAGAGTCTGCAAAAATAAAAGGCCTCCTTATGGAAATAGAAGAGGCACTGATCATAATGAAAGACGAAAAGATGCGGATAGTGGAGAGAATAGAGGACACAGACACCGCACAGGAGAGGAGCAGTATAATCCTCCAGTCCATCCATGATAGAATAAACACAATAGAGAATGTCCTTGGCAAGCCTCCTGCAGACTTCTCAAGAGAGATCAACTATCTCAACACAAGAATTTCAAGGCTTTTCAACATATCTAGACACATAAAAAGCAAATCAAAAGACCAAATTACTCTGAACAGTGTGAACATCTTCGATAAGCCGCTGCAGCTAAACGAAGAGCCAATCAATAAGATAGAAGAAGGCGCAATGCTCCCCAGATCCAGAAATATTACACTGGATTTGCTGAATGACTGTCTTGTAAAGATACTGAATAAAGAGACCCGAGAAGAGCCGGTGGAAGGTAGCTCCATACTCAACCACATATTCAAAACGCCTTCAGAGCAAAGCTTCCTAAAATCAATACAAGCGAAAAAAGGAACTAATAAGGATAATAGCAGAAATGAAAGTGCAACAGAAAAAACAGCCACTCCCACAGAATTGCAGCCATCTAAGCCAAATAGTGCTAGTTCTACTCCTAAGTCCACCCCTATTAGCATAGGTGATTTATCGCAGAGATCTAGCACAAGTTCATCGTTATTTAGCAATAGTTTGCCAAAGAAGGACATATTTGGTGCATCATCTAGTTTATCCGCACTGTCTAAATCTGCCACTCTTTTACCAGGATCAGCAGAACTGCAAAAGAGTGCAAGCTCTAATAAGCTCGGCAATCCATTCTCCACAGATGGCAAATCACCCCTAGGCAGTAGCAGCTCAATATTTAGTAAACCCCTAGCGCAGCCATCAGCGAATTTATTCAGCACTACCACTCCCTCTATCCAAAAAAGCACCAATGCTAAGATAGAAGAGGTGAATAGTACTAGTAACCAATCAATTCATAATACTAGCCCATTAGATGGCAATAATAGCCAATTCAATAGCAGTAATAATATGTTTTCTAACCGCAATAACAGCTTACCAAATAGTAACATATTCTCCAGTAGCAATAACGGCCAATTAAACAGTGGTAACAATAGCTTGCCAAATAATAATATATTCTCCAGTGGCAATAATAACAATAATCTACCAAATAATAGCTTATTTTCTGGTAATAATAACAGCCTGCCAAGTAGTAACATATTCTCTAGCGGTCAAAGAGAAGGGCAGACATCTAGCAGTGTGTTCTCTTCCAATAGCAGCAGTCAGATGAGCGGTAGCATATTCTCTAATAACCAGGGAAATCAGATGAACAGCAACGCGTCCTCTTTGTTCTCAAATCAGCAGCCTAATAACTCATTCAACCTCCTGCAGAGACAAAACACCTCGTTTACCCAGGGAAGCAAAACCCTTGGCCTTGGGTCTTCTAGCAGCGCTGATTCCTCCAGCTTTTCTTCACTTTTCAAGAAACCACAGAATAACCAAAACCAGCAATAAATAAAAGTACTTTACAGAGAATGAAACTACCAGAAACATCTTTATTCATTCCATCTGCTGCCTGATACATAAAATACTTCGTCTTAATTCTTTCATTCTGCTGCTAAAAACTCAGAAAGTAAACACTGGCGATTATGGCATTCTCTGCTAAGTACAATATTAAGTCTATCTTTATTCATCCACCAAGAGATTTAAAACTCTACACATCTACTACTATATACCAGAAGAACAACGCAATACTCTACTACTGCACCGTGTGATGCATCCATCAGACACTCCCATAGCTGAATATATCATTTGATTCTTAGCTACTGATTTTATTCCAAATATGGCAGCATCGATAGCATTAGATTATCCACACTTCTATGTCTTTCTGTACTGTTTCAGCACAGGATATATATTCTCAAATGCCTGGTATATCTCTTCCCTGTGCTTAGCGCCCGTTAGCACAACCTTCCCAGAGACAAACACAAGAAGCACGATCTTTGGCTTGACCATACGATAGATGAGACCCGGGAACAGCTCTGGCTCGTAACTGCTGTAGTTGCTGTGGCCAAACACAAGGCCCTCCAGCCGTATGCTAAACCGCGTGTCACAGCTGCTTACGATATTCTGTATCTTAAACTCTGTGAATCGAACAGGATACCCAAGCCGCCTAATTATAATACTGTACTTCTTGGCAGCCATCTTTGAATCTTCCTCTGATCTGGCCCCCGTCACCACCATCTTCCCAGATGCAAATATCAGAGCGGTTGTACGGGGCTTTCTTATTCTGATTATTACCGCTGCAAACCGTTTTGGGTTGTATTCTGCATTCCGAGCGCCGAGGGCAATGGCCTTCAAGTCCAGCCGGCAGCACAGATTGACAGTCGCTACGATGTTCTGTATTGTAGGAATAAGACCGGAAGGATGCTTGCTCAAGTCAACGCCCTCCTCCACTGGCACATACTCTTCTTTCTGCTCCATGAAAATAAAAATAAAATACAATAAATATACTCGGCAACTTGCACTGTTGCTTCCGCCCGCTCCTTCGTCTTTCTTCTCTTTATGTTGGTTATTGGCGGGTAAACAAACAGAAGAATCTCTTTTGGAAGCAACCTCTACACATCTGCAAAATGTACGCTTATAAAACAACTCTTGGAATAATAAATTCTGAAATTGAAAATTATTATAATAATAAACTCACTAAATTGCTAATATTATATTTACTAAACATTCAATCTGAATTAGTTATTTGCGCTGTAAAAGTTGCAAGAGCATCTAGTCATCTTAGAACAAAATCTCTTCTACCTCAGCTAATTTGCTCATCCCTCTGGTCTCTCCAGGACCTCCCACACCTTGACCTCTCCGTTCTGTCCTCCTGTGAGAAGCATCGACCTGCTTCCTATCACAGTTCCCTCCATTGCGCTCACCATCCCGTCGTACACCTGCATTGTGTAGACTGTCTTCTCCTGCACCTCGTAGACCATCTGGTAGCCGCCCAGGAAGAGTCTGCCCGATATAACGCACGCACATTGGATCTTATCTGACGGAAAAGGTATCGTGTTTTGCGTGTAGAAAGATTTATCGTAAACGATCACCCCATCTGAGAGCACGAATATATTATTACTTTGTGTTTTGTACATTGCAACTGCCCCTTTGTTGCTGATATCTTTGATGTATGTTGCGCTCTCGGGGTTGAACAAAGAAATCGAGTTCACATCCCCCACTGCAATCATGCTGTCTGATCTTGCCATCATCATTTTCACTGTTCTTCTGAGGGCAAATGCCCCGAGACACACGCCATCCATCCCCCATATCCTCAGCTCACCGTCTATTCCTATCGTGTATATCTTGGACACGCCAAAGTCCAGGGCTTTAACAGAAGATTTGTGTCCCTTTAGTGAGAGAAAAAGCGAAACTGATAGTTTTTCGTCTTCTCTGATGACTTTGTACACCTTTGCTTCTCTGTCAAGGGACGCACTTCCGAAGTATATATACGGCTCCATTGAGTTACTGCTGTCTTTTACCTTGACCTGCGATATCTGCATGGTGTGCGACTCAAATTTGATCACATCGCTCATGTTGATGAGATTAACCACGCAGATCGATGCATCCATGCCTCCCGTGATGAGTATCTTGTGCCGGTGGCAGACAGACATGCTGTTTACCTTCTGCGAGTGCAGCCGCAGCTTCGTTACCTCCTTCATAACCAAAGTGCTTCCGTGGCTATTTGGCGTGCTGCCTCCCATACCCCCACTCAGCGCTGCAGATCCTATCCCACTATTACTCATGCTGGGCCTTGTGTGGGCTGCAAGATTCGCATGGCTTGGATGCGGGGCTGTGTGTGCGGGATGGCTTCCTGCGTGGTTTCTGTTCCTGTACTCTGTTTCATCTATCTCCAGGATGCTGTTCAGGATATCTCCATCTTTTCTGTACCAGGATGCCTGCTGGCTCGGAGGCTGCGTGTGCCTGGGCTTGTACTCCTCCTTGCCCTCTTCTTTTGCCATCTTTCCAAGCATTGCGTCTATTTTGCTGACTATTCCGGATGATTTGCCTCGCCCACTTCTTACGTTGTAGAGATCATTGAATGCAACAAACCAGTCTAAGAGCGCGCTGGAGCCCTGTGTTATATTTATATTGCTGATATCTCCTTCCACTTTAAAGACTTTCGCTGACCCTGCATAATTCCTCTTTATTAAATATTCGTAGATCAGAGCATTGAGCACTGTTGTGCTGATGTACGCGTCTGATTTTGGAGCACTTTTCTCTTCGTAGTTGAATCTTCCTTCATGCATTGTATGGTATAATTAGTTAAACTAAATAAAAAGAGTAATTCAAATACTCTAATAGCAATTGTCTCTATTTATTAATTAAAATATTTTACAACAATTAATGGAACGAAGAAAAGAAGAAGAATCTAAATTAAACGCAGAAGAAGAAGAGAAGCACACAGAAGAGAAAATAGTCGATGAAGCAGAAGAGGTCAGGAGTGCCCTGAACAACGGAAGCATTCCCAGAGTGAAAATATTTATGGATCTTATCTCCATCATAGATATGCTCGAGACCAAGAACATTCTGGTTGTAACCCCTCTTTCAAAAGAAAAAACAAGGATAGAGAACAGCCTGTCAAGCGACGACTCTTTTTCTGTTCTTGTCAGAAGAGTGCTTGAGAGCATAAACCTCCTGAAGTCGAAGGAGGTCTCTCCTGATGTTATTATAATCAGCAAGTACAGCATAATAGCAGAGATGGGGCTATCACACGATCTAATGGAGGCTGTGGGAAACAGCAGGGTAATTGTCTCCCTGGAAAGCGACGAAGAGATGGAAATGCTTGGTTCGTACACAATGGTCTCTAAAAAGATGATAAAAAGAGAGTTCTATCTCGGCGGAAGAACAACCCTGGAGAGAATGGGCATACTATTTGCTCTAACAAAGGCAAAGCCCATCAAGAACATCTGCATTGTCGTCAGCCACGCAAAAGAAGAGAGAAGAGTTGAGGTTTTCCTGAAGGCTTTTGGAGTAAAGGTAGATATTGACCCAAAAACAAAGAAAGAAGGAAGCGTTGGGCTGTTCAACACAAACAACATGATAAATAGCAGGCTGCTAGAGAGGTACAGCTTAGTAATAGATATCACCGGCGGAGTAAACTCGGAAGTGCTGGATGAGGTCAAAATAGGAATACTAAAAATAATAACACACGGGAAGATCGTAAAAGAAGACGCACGGTTCAAGAGGCTGCTAGAGCAAGCAATGAGATACAAGTACAGAATAGAAGGTGTGATAAGAATGATAACTCCAAATGTATTGCAGCGCAAAAATGACATAGACGAAAAGGCAGTAAAGCATCTCCAAGGCGCTCTTAGACTAATCTAATAAATACCCCAGATAATAGATACGCCCTCACTGTTATTTTTATGTCTCACATGCGCTCATCGGTTAATAAGAGTTGGATGATTCGTACAGATGGAAAATAGCTCATAGCACAGCAGCATGAATATATTAGTATAGATATATGCAATATAATACATACACTATGCTATTCTAGATATAGCAGTATCAGATTACGTCTATATTCTCGATGCTCTACAAATTGAACAGATGATGAAAGTGCTCCAGCACATGGTCTGTCTTATTTGTCTATGTAACCAAGAGACTCTTATTATACTGTAAATTAAGAGAGTTACAAAAATTAAATAAATTATTGCATGAAACACTGGACAGATGTAAAAAGCCTCAGAGAGAAGGCATGGTTTGGCTTTTCCGAAGAAGAAAGGAGCACTGCATGGCTTGTTCTTCTTGATATAATTGGGCCATCAGACGAGCACATAGAGAGCAGTATCCAGCAAAAGGCTTTATTGTATCTTTCTTCGTGCTCGCAAAAGACACAGATGCACAGCCCAGAGGTAGTCCTTTCGCCTGACTCAACCTTCAAAGTGCAAAAACAAATTAAAAAAGATGTGCTTCGGATAAACACCTCCATAAATAACGAAGACCGATCAAAGTCATTTCACAGAGCAATGGAGCTATTTGCTAGAAAGTATGCAGTGGTTGGATACGTGCAGGGAATGTGCGACATATTCAAACTGTTCATTGACGTGCACTCAGTGTCCCACGATCTAGAGCAGGCAGAGGCGCTGTCCTACTTTTGCTTTGTGAAGATCGTAAGCAACTATCTCGATTACTTTTCATCGCGGCAGGCAGGGATAGAAAGATCGATAGAAGAGATAGAGTATTTGATAGACAAGAACAGTCCTCGTCTTTTTTCTTATCTGAGCAAGCTGAAAATAGAGATAAAATATTTTGCATACAACTGGATGTCTACTTTTCTGTTCAGAGAGTTTGCAGCGCACAAAGAGGTGTTTGATGCGCACTTCTCTCTAGGGCCTGAAGAGTTTGTCCAATTTAACGTGTCATTTGCCACGGGGATAGTCATATACCTACAAGATAGGCTAATGAAGAAGGACTTTGAAGGAGTGGTGCACACCCTGCAGAACATACAGAGTGAAAAGTGGACAAAAAGTGACATAGAGAAGATTCTGTCCATAGCATTCATAATATACTCAAACGGAACTCTTTTTTCCAAAGGTCATGCAAAGTAAGTCACATAACTGCTGTAGAATGTAATTTGAAATAAGTCTAAGATGAATTGTGATTACTAGAATATACTAGAATATGAAGAGAAAGTAAGGATAGAATGAAAAATATTTACAATGCACTCTAGTAATATGGTAGTATGCGAAGATTGTTATAGATAAAGAATGAAGCAAAGCGTAAATTGGACAAATCGAGTCATTAGAGTGTACAATTATGAATTAGCACACTATAGACACAGCACAAATTAAGTTAAATTAAGCTAAATTAAAACTATTAGCAGAGAATAAAACCCACATAGGAATACGTGTCTTATATTTTACTCATCACTGCATTCCTTATCTAGTAAATCTAGATAACAGCTATGTCGATTTCTGTTCAGTGAATTTGCCAAGTTCTAGAGCAGTGATGCTAGTTGCTACAATAAAAACATGTCTACCATCTGCTCTGTCCGTGCTCTTTGTGCGATAGCGGGCTAAATGAAGGATAGTTTGATTTCGAGATATATTAGTATCAATTTATTCATTTTCTGGGAGTGGTTTTAAAGCTGCGTCAACTGATAGTAATTTCTGCTGTTCTACGGCCTGCTCGTCCACGATTGCTTCGGGGGGGAGGAGTTCTGAGTTGGCTACAAAGAACAAATCAGGCTTGCTGTATAATATTTTTGCTAGATGAAGGAAAGGCTTGTCGTAGTTGTAGTTGCTCTTTGCACTGATGTCAAAGTATGCGATGTTTTGCATCAGCTTTCTGTCTTTCATATGCGCCGACTTGACCTTTCTGTCCATGATGTCCACCTTGTTACCGCACAGGCACAGAGGAATTTCGGGGCAAATAAGACGAAGATCTCTGTACCAGTTGGGGACGTTCTTGTAGGTTATTCTGGACGTTGTGTCAAACATGATAATACCGCAGTCTGACTCGTAGTAGTACGCATCGCGCAGCCCTCCGAACTTCTCCTGTCCTGCGGTGTCGTATACGTTGTAGTTAATCTGTCCGTAGTTGGTGTAAAACGGAAGAAGATAAGTTTCAGCTCCAACTGTTGCAACATACTTCTTGGTGAACTCGCCGAACAAGTGTCTCTTCACGAAAGTGGTCTTTCCTGTTCCTCCGTCTCCAACAAGGACTAATTTTCTAATTGGCCCGTTAATTCCTACTTGGGCTGCCTGCTCAACGCTCACATTTCCTTCACTTTGATTATTATTGCCTTGCATAAAAAAAAGAAAAAAATATGTATTTATAGAAAAACAAAAGAAAGAAAAAATTAGAAACACAAAACGCTGAAAAGCCAGCCAGCCATCTGCCCAGCAGGATTAGCAGAGAAAAGAGAGGAAATCAGTAGAAATGCTTAGATAAAAATAGTAGCTTAAATTGCAGCCAATTAAAGGTAAAAGATGGATAGAAAGGAGAATACACGTATAAAGGACTCTAATCCTCTCTATCTACTATAGAGCATCCATTAAAAACACAAAGACAGCTAGTGTTGAGCACAAATGAATGGTTCAGCGTATATTTAGTGATGTAATCTAAGGCAGAAGATGTAGCTGACAGTATAACTGTATAGGAGAGATATAGAAGAGATATGGTGAGATCTATGTGTTCTATAAATACTGTTGTGTTAGCTAAATATTCTGCACACTGTTTTTCACAGAGTAAATAAATGGTAATTGGTGATCTTTGGCAGAACTCAAGCAAAATATTTACTTAATTCCAGCGTGCAGAAACTATTTTGTGGTTCTTGCGTATTGGTGAATACTCCTATAAAACATGCAGAGAGCGGCAGCTGGTCTACGGCTGTGCACAAGGCGGTTAATATTAACAGGTGTCATTTATTACTCTTTCTTTACTTTGCCATCATGATGTTTTCTCTTGATGAAAAATGACACTATTGCTATAATACACAGCCCGAACATTATTACACTCAGCGGAACAGCCTCTGCGATTCTGTCCAGAATGCTTATCGTAATCATTGCCCAGGTGAAACAGTATGCATACACCAGAAGAAGCTTAGACGACGGGGCGTATATTCCCTCCCTTGTCTCTACGTTGTCCAATATCTTCGGATTCTTGAGGATTGCATCTATGTCATTTTCGTACTTTTTGTCGTACGATATGTTGTAGTCGAAAATGTCCACTGCAGTGATGTTCTTGAACCTGTTCCTGTGCTGCAGGAAGAACGTGGGAAAGCTTGTTGCCTTGAACCTCAGGGCAAGAAGGGGATCTATGTTGAAGTTGATTGTTTTTATTTTGAAAACCCCAACTGTTCCGCCGCTGAAAGATCCCAGCCACTTTTTGTACGACTCGCACGCAAGACAGCTGCTTCCTGGGCTGTCGTAGTATATAAATATCATCATTGGCTCTGTGCTCTTCAGGTCGCGTGAAGAATATGTTTCAAGTTCGCTGAAGTTCTGTGACGAATTCTGGAGAAAGAGAAGAAACACAAACAGAAGCACAGCCTTCATATAAAAAAAATATTATGAATATTTATAACTAAATTATTAGCCAAAATAGTACATATTAAGGAGAAGAGCAGAGTGTGTATGTAGGCTTATCTGGAGCATATAAGTGCAGCACAGAGGGGCTCACTGGAAGACGGGAAGAATGTTGGAGGGTGAAATAAATATGGGAGAGCGCTTAAAATTTTTATGGAAATTCTGACACGCAAAAGTAATTTAGTGAAAGTTAACCAAGAGGCTCAGAAAGCAGGCCTAGTGCGCAGCAATGTTTCTTTCTACAAGAAAGCCCAGGGATACACAGCAATTGGCACCCCAAACTATCTGGAAGTGATAACACACAAGAAAGTCTATCTGAGTCTGTTCAGAAAGCTAAAGGATGTGCATGTAACCATCCCCGAAGAATCAGAGAACAGCGCAGGAAATCAGCAGGAGAGCACAGAAGGCGCATATTTGATAGGAGACAAGTGGGTGGAGTATTTGGACAACGCCAAAATAGAGAACGAAATAGAAATATCCTCGAACATAAACGATTCGCACATGCACAACAGGACGCTCATTCTTCTTTTGAACGACAAGTTGGTTTTGTACAGCAAGTACCTGAAGAAAATACAGGAGATAGGCCTGAAAATGAAGTATGCAGAAAAAATGAGCATAGCAACACACAAGAACAAAACCGTTATGGCAATAGTCAGCTCAACTGAGCAGTGTGCTCTGATCGTATACGACAAAGACGTAGTCAAGGACATGAAAGTCTCAAAGCGAACAAAAGAAGTAAAAATAGTGGAGGACAAGGGAGAAGTGTACGTTGTGATGGCAGAGTCAAACAAAATAAGAATAGTTGGCGCATTCACAGAGCTTGATAAAACCGTGGAGACAGACCACATCAAGAGCATATGCCAGATAGAGTATTCAAATGGAGTTATATACACCGCATCCCCAGAGGGCGTTGTGTGCACCATGGCGATAGAAGACAACGAGGCCACAGCAGTGTACGTAGACGTAGAGGGAATAGATAAGATAGGAGTACAATAAAAATAGAGGAGTTTAGTTTTTGTCTCTCTATCGCACAATCTGAGAATACACGTATACATTGATCAGTAGATAGTTATTTTTTATTAGTTGTACGAATCTGCATCCTTATGAAAAGACTTAGAGTGCTGTTTGGCTATGCTCTGTCTACGCACTTGATGAGTTCTTTTTTCTCCGTATTTTCTGGGTTTTCTTTTTTTCCTGTTCCTGTTTTGTCTTGTAGTAGTACATCACGTAGATTATGATCTTGGGCGTAACGACAAGGATAAGAGAAATGAAGTTGAGAATGAACAAGGCATTGTTGAACTTTGCCAACCGAGCACCGCACAGGAATAGCATCACAGGGAACAAAGTGAAAAAACTCATGCCGGATGACCCCTTTAGCTGGATCATCAGCTGCTCCCAGAAGGTCAGCCCCGAGTACTCTGGGTTGAAAGGATCTCCTAGAATGGCATGAAAGAACACAAACGTAACGATGTTGTACAGCCAGATGGTCAGAGTCCACGCAATGGGCTTTGTAAATATCTGCCGAAGAATAAACCATACAGTTCCCGTGAGGAGGGTTTGTCCGAGCCAGGTAGATGGCTCTAGTGACCACTCAACATTCGGAGAAATATATGCTTCACATGTCATGCTTTGCAGGAGCTCAGAGCTTATATACCACACAAACTGTTTTGGATGTTTCAAAACAACTCAATAGAAACACTTCTATGCAAACTGTGAGCATCCTATAGATAGAAGCAGCCCACACTTAAACGCTATCTACCATTCATTTCATCCATCTGTACAGATGATAACTAGAAATTAGAGCCAAACAAGTTGCAAAACAGAGAAAATACGCTAATCACATGCTATAGTATTGACTGCATGTGTCTGACAGTTATTATTGCTTGTTTTTGTGTTAGTGGGTGTTTCTGATTATTGCTACTGAGTTCTACATTTCTATTTTTGTGCAGAATAAATAATTTTATTTAAATAAACCTGTGCACAACTTTTATTCTAGACTATTTGCTTATTTTGCAATAAAAAATTAGAAGAATAGTGCTCTCATTTAATTGAACAGAGAATAGAAGAGAACTGCTACTTTTTTATCTACACTCTGTAAAACTCGAGAACAAAGAAGTTTACACTCTGCAAAGACTATAGAAGACAGATGCTTGATTGGTGTGTAGCATAAGCATAATTTATGATTACTACAGAGGCTAGGATAAGAAAGATCACAAAAGTACAATAAAAAGAGAGCCCATTTGCATTTGAGCGCTCAAAACATCTCTATTAGCAGATTGTCTTAACAAAGTATATCTTAATCTTTTATTTACTTTCTGATGAGTTTTAGTGCTAGCAAATTACTGCTAAACAATGGCTAACAATTGAGGATCATGCGATACTTTATCACACTTAATATGGAGATTATGTAGCCTAGGCTGCGCCATCAAACAGCCACCACTTACTGATAAAAAGCACAGCTGTGACTTCAGATGCCATGCTCATTGCAAAAAGAATGGCTTTTGATGTTTTTCTTAGCTTTTTTTCTTTCTGTAGATCCTCATTTCTTTTGATCCATGGTGTAAAAGAGCCATAGATAATGCCAGTAAGAAACACTCCAATTACACAGTATACAAGTGCACAAAACAGTATGTAGGCGCCAAACACAAGATGGTCAGACCATGTTTTGTGCTGGTTGAAAAGCACTGAATTTATCAAACAGTGAATGCTCGGAACAGCTAGGCAGGAAATGATTGCTGCTGTCTTAATTACCACGTATTTGAACTGATTTAGCGATCGCACTCTATTCTCAGTGACAAATCTGTAATTATTTTCCACATACGAAAGTACTATGGTTGAAGCAAACATAAGGATGTACACCGAAACTATCCCCAAATAAGAATGAGCTTTTTTAGTCATCCATGGCAATAGTGCTATAGAGCTGTTTTCTGTCCTGTTTATTTCAGGAGTGTTCAGGATCTTTACCTCGCTTCTGCCCAGCAGCACATTGATAGCCGTTATGTTAAAAATAGACAGTATAACCATGATAAAATGGACAACGTAGAGATAGCTTTTAAAAAGTGCCTTGGTTTTCTGTGCACCATACTCTTTTTGTATGCTGTAGCTGTAGTAGTAGTAGGAAACAATGTTGCTGATGGCCAGTAGAAATATCCAAGTGTTAAGATACAGCATAAGAAGACCAACTCTACTGAAGTACAGCTCATGCATCTCTCCAAAATAGCAAATTGTGCTTAGCGGGCTTGTGAGGAAAAAATGAACATATGAGGCCTCTTTGTACTGCAAGACCTTCCAGTACTCAGATGTGAATATTGGCATATCTACTTTTCTGCTTTTGCAAGAGACAGACACCATCTCTGGTACAGAGTCAGACTTTGCAAAAATAGACGAGCCATTGCCTAGCGTATTTTCTGTGTTTTCATTTCCCTCTGATGCACCTATTTGGTCTTTTTTTGTATTTACACCGTGTCCATCCATTTGAAATTTTTTCAAATTTGTAAAATTCGATTTATGCGCCTTGGATAAAAGATAAGGAATATTTTGATCAAAAGCAACTTGGCGCAGAGGATGCATCTGCAGCGCGCCACCATCGCTCTGCCATAATGCAGGTGTACAGCCTACTAGCTCAGTGTATCTGCATCTATTTACACGCTGCACAATAAATGAGAATTGTCTGGACTTTTATTTATTTGTGCAATATAGCCTTCTTGAAATAAAAATGCAGTATGCATGCATTCATAGTCGAATGATTAGATCATGGAAATAAACGGATAAACTGCCCATTAGAAACCTTAAGAATGTGCTTTTGGTATAGTAGGTAGCACAGAATCATTGGAAAGAGGGTTTAATTCACAATTAGCCTTACATTCAAACTGTTCGAATACAGCACAGAAAAGCATTCTAATTATTTTTATTGCTCAGAGGCTATGAAGAGCATAAGCATAGGAATATTTGGAAGTATAGGCTCTGAAAAAACAGGGATGCTAAACACCATCCAGGCAAATCAAAGATGCACTTTGGCTCAAGAGAAGAAGAAAGCACGCATGGAGACAAGCCTCTATAAAAAAGAAACATCTTCGGAGCTGCTTGAGTTTGCAGACTTTTCAGAACACTTTGAGTGTCCTTTTTATCATATAGACAAGCTTGGCCTATTCGATGTTGTTTTGCTGACAGTTGATGTTCGAACAGGGTGCACAGAATACATCAGCAGAGTTCTTGAAAAAAGACGAGAAGACGTGATAGTGTGCATAAACAAAGTAGACGTCCTTTTTGGAAGCAGGCCAGAGTCCATTTACAATGCTTGCCACACTCTAGTGGAAGCACTGGATAAAAAAGCATCGTCAAAGATGTTCTATCTTATAGCCAGTGCACGGTATAAGATCTCTCTTTTTTCAGGCTTTGTCTCAGACTTTAGCAAAAAAAGGTTTATTGATCGCTTGCACACGGTGTATAAAATTCTCAGCATCTCTGATATGCACAAAAAAGATGTTAAAGATGTTTATTGGAAGAGTAAGTACTTTGATGTTATCGATAAAAACACTGGCATCTACAAAGCCAACCCAGTGCTTGCATCAGTCAGCGACATTCTTGTCCACGCAGAAGGCATTCCCTCACTTTCGCACACGATAATATCAGCAATAAAAGAAATTCACCAAGATAAAAACAGCAGTGGAGAAGGTTTAATAGCTGTAGAAGGCTTTTCAAACAATAAAACCAACTTTCTAGTAAAAAATACAAGCATAGAAAACAACAGGACTATTGTACACAATAAAAGCACATACAGAGTAATAGACATTTTGTCAAGTCACAGAGACGGCCATATTCACACTGTGCAGATAGAAAAAGAAGAAGAGCTGCTGCAGGAGATAAAAAGCACAAACACACACTACATATCGATAGTCTTATCTATTATTGGCGAAGAAGAGTGCAAGATGGTAAAAAGATTAAGCAGTGCATATCCAGGTATATCGCTATGTCCCACTCAAAGTACAGAAAAGTCAGGACCATCTGCAGAGTATAAGATTGAGATATTCGCTGTAGGCCCGCACACCTTAGAAGAGTTTATAGCTGACATTCACAAAAATGTAGACAGGCAATCTATAAAAACATCTAGACCACTGTACCATGTACGCAGAACACCAAAAGGTAGCAATGCATTTACTCTCTCCATTAGAAGTGTTTATATTAGAATAGAATTGCTATCTGCTTTTGATAAAGATAGCCGAGAAAATGGCTTAAAAACAGAAAAAAAGAGCAGTTCTGACTATTTGATCTATGAGTTAGACAAAAACAGCCACAACTATGTACACATAAAGAAAGACATATTGGATAATGGCATAGAAAGCGCTGAAATTTACTCAACAATAAAGAGCGCTGTGCAGTCTATAAAAACATCAAATAAAGTGCTGAGTATTTCTCACACAGTGGCTGTGGCAGAGCTGCTTCATGCACCATCAAGCAAAAAGAGAACAGAAAATGATACGGATAAAAGCGTAGAAATATGCTTCAACAGGTGCCAATATTCAATAATTGAGCCGTACATTGTGCTTCAAGTTCTGCTGCACACTCCTGCCATGTGTGTGCCAAGATCATGCGAGGCATTCTTGAACAAGCTAACACAAAAAAGAACAACGAAGTCTCTTACCGCCTCTATAGCAAAGAGATGCAGTGGGAAAGTACTGCATTTCACTGAAGATGCTTTTTTACTGGCTGCCAAGCTAGACATCATCCTTCCAGGATCAACGCACACCGAGTTTCTGTCACTGATAAGCACATTCTTCAAAAGCTTTCTTTCTTACACGATCGATATTCAGTACATGCCCAGCCCTTTAAAAAATAGCAGATCCAGTGATCTTCCACCTGAGCTGTCTTTGGTACAGAAATCCAAAGAGAACGTATTTTATTCCAGAGTGTAAAAATTTTAATTAGCTGCAATGAATTTCGGATATTCCATAGACGAAGTTATTCAAAGAAGCGAGGCAAAATCACACGCCAAGAAGCTGCGCATAAAAGAAAAAAAGAGAACAGAAAGAGAAGAGGGCCCTTCAGGAGATAAAACTAGCAGTGCTTCCAAGCAAACAGCAAGCCACGCAAAAAAGTCAAAGCTAAGCAGACAAGAGCGCACAGCTCTGCTAGACAGAAGCATGACATCTGCCTTCCAAGAAATGCCAAAGATCGAAGAAAAAGAGCTGAAAGAGGTTCTTAAAATTGTAGTGAAAATAATGAACACAATTCCATACGAGGCTGTGCCAATTAACAAACAGCAAGAAGATGAAGACCCCCATGCAAGAGCAAAGGGCGAAGACCATCTCAGAAGAAGAGACAGAAAGAGGCCCAGACCAGACAGTGCCACCAAATCTGCTCAACCCAACAAGCATGCATTCAATAAAGGCCACAAGAGACAAAGAAGACAGTAGCACGGACAGCAAATGGCATAGAGGGCGAGCAATGCAAATTCTAAATAAAACAATAGATAGTATAACGGTTAAGATGACAATTCCTGTATTTTTACGTTTAATTAATACAAGCCAAGGCACAAGATCAGTACTCATGCCCAAAAGATAGAGTATCTTGCTAGCTTTTTAAAAACTTTCTGCACTCATGCAGTAACAATAATTATTTGGATGTAAATTATAGAGTATTCTCGGGTTATATCTCAAAGTCTTTTAAACCGAAACACCCATCTCCATATTCTCTCTGAACAGAAATATAAAAGCGCTTGCAACAATCACTAGGAGGATTAAGAAGATTATTGTAGCTCTTTTCACTTTTTTGTTTCCAAAGTTGGCCACCATTATTGGAAGATGAATGTGCAGCCGATCTTTACCAAAATTGAGAGTGAAAGTAAAGTAGGGGGGATTGTATATAATCTTTCTTACGTCACCGTTAGATTCTTTCTTGACGAAAGCAAAATATAAATATGTGTCTACGGTTGCGTTTACTCGTGTTTCTCTTGTTGTTGTTGTTTCTATTCTTTCTCCATACCATGTCTGTGTTATTCTTTGTGTCTCTTCTTCTGTTACTACAACTTCTCCGGCTAGTCTATCTAGCACCACTATAGTAATTCTTCTTGCAAGCCAATCACCAATTAGTCCTCTAGAGCCATTTTCATTCAGTGTGTAATTGCGGTCAGAGTTATTGGATGCTGTACTGAGTGCGCGTGCACGTTCACCTTCTGGTTGCAAGTTCTCTGGTTGCGATTTATGTTCATGAGCTGAATCGGAATTGTCTTGAGTATGAAAATTGTCTTGAGGATGAGAATGAATGTGAGTGTAAGAATTCTGTTGATCATAAGAATTGTCTCGAGTATAAGGATAGAGATCAGGATGAGCAGTGTATGCAGGAGGTAAGTGTGTACTGTTCATATCAACATTTTCTTGGGTTATTCTCGGGTCATGTGTAAAAGTCTTTTCAAAATCTCCGTATTCGGGTAGCCAATCTGTATGTTCCATCAGTTTTCTGTACTTTTTTGAAAATTTTTTCCAGCAATTTATAGATTTTTAGTGCCAACGGATATAACTGATTTTTACTAGCGCTGAAGCTACTGTTAGATTGAATATAGCTCGCTGTTTAACCACTCTACTGTACTACCAAAAACGGCACACAGTGCATAATGCAATGCACAAATGGACAGAATGCAGTGCATAGCACAGATGCATGCGGAGAAATAACAATGTGACCACTTATATCACTCAATTTGGCATTTTTCTAAAGATTAACTATTAAGATGCATCTCAGTAGAAGAGTAAAGCTGGTGTATATAGCCATCTGAAATGCATCCAAATCCCAGAACAGGTTAAATCCTCTCTAAATATTTTTGCTTTATTTTCTTTTAACATGGACAGCTCTAAATTGAACATCTTCCAGCTGAGCAACGCACTGGAAGGAATAGCTCCAGTTAAATTGCAGGTGGTGTTTGGGCTGGGAAGCGGTCTGTTTGGGGTTATTTACAGCTGCATGTTCTACGCAGAGAACAAGCCCTTTACAAAGACAGTGCTCCGATTAGCCAATGTGCTTCTGCTGTTTATTGCATACCTATTTTCCCTAAAACTGTACATGTACAGAACACTGGACGTAGTGCTATTTCTGCTGGCCACCAATGGAAGAGCGCTAAAAAGCATCATAACAGCCACTGACATAGCCAGAGGAAGAACATACGAGTCAAAAAAGATAAGTGAAGAAAAAAAAGATAGCAAAACAAAAACAACCGATAAAAAAACAGCTGCATGGATGCCTGCTTTGAAAGAGTTTCTACCAATCAATCTTGTTATGCCTAGGGTAACCACCAAGCCCGTCTCTTTTGACAAGGTGTTCGAGGAAATGGTGTTTAGACTGCTTTTACTGTCGAATATGCACATTCTGTACACACTGTCATTCAGCAGCTTTTCTATTTTAGCACATGGCATACTCTACACAACACTTTCCTACACAATAAGATATGTGGAGTATTCACTGACAAAAACAACCCCGCCGGGTGTTTTAACCGAGGATGCATATTCCATATATGTATGGCTGCTGCATATAGTTTTTATCACAGAGCTGTATGCCAACTAGATGAAAATAGCAAATGCTCATAGTGTATATGAGGTACTAGCACTAGCAGTCAATGCATGCTAGATATATCTCAATGCGCAAAGGAATACAGGATCTATGCTACATCTACGACTTATTTTAGAAGATCAATTGTAAAAGATAGAGCGCAAGGATAGATCAGAAGAAAACTTCTTCAAGAGTTCGTAATCAATAAATACTTATTTTTATTTCACTACAACCATGTACTTGAACTATCTTAATATACGTCTAGCTAATAGTCCATACTAGATTCACATGGAAAGAACATAGGAACACCAGCAATAAACTCATTTTATGATCTTACCTTACTATTCCACTATCTACTGCTGCTTACTAGCTAAACACGATTTCTTTTTCATTAGAGGAGTGCGTATATAGCAGCAATAAATCTTCAGCTATTTCTTATTTTACTTCGGCCAATTGCACTATTTAGCAAATTATAAAAATAGTAAAATATTGTAATTTAAAATGTATCCACTCCAGAAAGAGCATGCTGAAGCAGCGAAAGAAGAGCTTCCAGCTGGAAAAGAGTTTGAGTCCTTGCTGAAAAGGCTCAGTGGGAGCGTAGTCGAGGAAAAGGTAAAGATTGCGATTGCAGGCAGATACTTCGCAACTGGAAAAGAAGCAGAGTACGAAAGAGTAATAGAAACAGTGCAGCCCAGGAGTGTGGAGGAGCGCACCCTGAAAAACAACCAAGACATCCTTGTTCTGCTCGTCAGGTACAATAAAGAGCAAAAGATTGACTATCTTAAAAAATCAAAAGAATTGATAGCAAAAACACACATCTTTCCAACAGTCAAAACGATGTTCCTACTAGCAACAGAGGCCCCGCAGGAGGAAATACTCAAAGAAAGCTACAAACTGGACAGAAACTGCAAACACTCAGCCAAAATAAAAGCCATCTCTTTCATTGGCGCAAAGAAGTACAGTGAGGCCTCGTCTCTCATAGAAAGGCTTTCTGCATCAACAGAAAAAACAATGCTGCAGTTGATAGTATCTGTCTTTCAGGGCCTTCCAGCAAAAAAAGAGATATACAACAGGCTCATTGAAGAGATAAACAAGAAACAGAGGAAGCTAGATAAAACCAGCACACAAGCAGAAGAGAAAGAAGAAATGGAAAAATTGGATAAGTACACAGAGTACGCAAAGAGGCTGATGAACGAAGGGCCGGGAATTGGCTACGATCTAATCATATCTGAAATAGACAGCGCTCTAAAGAACACAACAGGAGTGGCTCTGGGAAGTGCCAATCACCTGATGGAAAAAACAACCAAAAACCCATCAGAGGCTATTAAGATGCTCCAAGTGTCTAAAAAGCTATTCTTAGAAGTAGAGATACTCAGAGCTGAAGCGCTGCTTGGAAAGAAAAGGTATATGGAAGCAAATGAGCTAGCACAGACATTGAAGAAAGACCACCACGCTACAATGGATGGAAGTGCGGCAGAAAGGATAGCAATAATACTGATCAGCTCCTCGTTGCACCTGAACAAAATGGAAGGCATGGACATTTCGTGGATTGTAAATGCTCTGTCACCGAGAGAACAAAAAAAGAAAGACGTAGGCCTATCAGACTTTGTCGAGCTGATAAAAAACAAAGAGCCAGGAATGGCGTCTTTTGACCACACAGTGCTGGCATGGACAAAAAAGATGATAAAACTGTCAAAGAACACAAATCTTATCTGGCGGCCTAAGATAGAAAGCAGCAAGTATTTCAACCGTTTGGGCAATATATACTTCGCACACAAGGACCCAGAAAGAGCCAAAAAGGCGTACGAACAGGCAATTGCCACAGGAACAGAGTCGCAGATAGAAGATACGCGAGAGAACATGCAGAAGCTGGAAGAGTGGATGGCGAGAAAAGATCTTCCAATAAAAGAGTGTCCAGAGGCCATGTGTCTCTTCAAGTCGCTGGGTAACACAACTGAGAATCCCAGTGCAATGGATTACATCACAGGAACTACATCGCATGAAACAGCAATGGAAACAGCTGAGATGTTGGAAGAAATAGCCAACGCCCTGATAAAAGACAAGAACACAGTAGAAGAAGCGCGAATCATAAACATTCTGTCTCTGTGCAGCCTTGTGAAGTTCAAAAAACAGATACTTACACCACTAGAGATCTCAGAAAGCAATATTTCGGTGATTTACAACCACATAGTATTCTGGATACGAGAAAAAAAAGAAATAGACATGGGAGCAGTGCAGGAAGCCATCAAATGGTACACTTCAAAGCATTCTACGCCCTCCCAGACAGCGGTGGCCAAGTGTGCAATAATGCTTACACTAAAACACCTGGCAAAGAGCGGAAGAGTGAAAAGATTTAACGAAGTATTTGTGCAGGTGGAAGAGCACATCAAAAAAGATCCAAAAGACAGAAAAGAGATTGATGAGCTAAGAGCCGCACTGGAAGAGATTAACACGCCGGTTAATGAAGCAGCAAATGCGCACGAAGAGCCAAAGAAAGAAACTGTAGCCAAAGAAGAGCCCATAAAAATAAAACAAGAGGAGTCGGAAGAGCTCCTTTCAAAAAGAGAGGAAGTCATGCGTATGCTAACAGAAGGCCCAGAGAAAAAGCAGCCAAAGAAAACAAAGAAAACGAAGTCAACAGAAGATAAAGAAAGACCAGTGAAAAAACAAAAAGCTAGCAGAGACAAAGATCTGTCAGAAGAGGAGCCAATAAAGCCAGAGGAAGAAGAAAAACCACAGCCAGTCCCCATAAAAAGAGTCTCGCACACTATCCTGTCAAGCGACGAGGAAGATGAATAAATTATACAATTTTTTACTCTTGCTGCTTGCTGCATACTTTCACTCCTTCATCTTTTATGGTTATTCTAGTGTGCTAAATCATGGAATTCGTTTTATTTCTGGATACTATCAATCTCCTCAGCGGTGTCTCATTAATAGTCTACACTGAAAATTAAGCAGTGCAGGGCGAATGTTCACTACTTTTGTCCAAATTATGTGTTTTATGTAAAATTTTTGCGCCCTTGCCATTGCCTCCGCATAAGGATACTATTTTTAGTATATTTGGTAGACTGTATATATTTATATAGATGTACTAAATATGTTAAATATAACCCGAGAATAACTTTTGCTTTATCTTAGCTATTTCACAGACTATTTTGTACCCCTGTGCCATGCGTCTACTTTATTGTTACACTCTTCGTGTAGGCTCAGTATGTAGAGGGAGGCTTATTTTTTCCTTAATTTCATCGTTCATTAAGCGAGCACAGACAGCCCGCTGCACTCATAGCGGCTAATTCTCGTGACTGTCTGGCAACAAATAGCCGAAGACCGTTAGCTAATTTTTGTGTGTTTTATTCGTTGGAATTTTTCAGTAAAATTTTCTTATGGACTTTGGGCTAAGCATAGAGGCACAAAAAAGAGAGTGTGTGGCGTTTAAAGGGATGAACATCCCCATGGAGATACTTGGAAACATCAAGTACTCAATTGCCACGCCAATTCAAAGAAAGGTGATTCCTAAGCTCCTCCGAGGAGAAGATCTAATAGCAATATCTCGCACAGGAAGCGGCAAAACGTTTTCGTACGTGATCCCGATCTTGATGAATCTTCTGAAAAACAGAGAAAAAAAGAGCATATACACCAGAGCCAAGGCCGTGATAATAGTGCCTACGTACGAGCTAGCTAACCAGGTCTTTGCCGTATTCCAAGAGCTCAGCAGCAACGGCGTGCATCCTGCGATGTTCACAGGGATGGGAACAGTTGCACACTCTCTCAACTATCTCGTGGTAGGACAGTTTGAGGTCGCTATCTGCACCCCCGGAAGACTCGAGCACATTCTAACGGAAATATCATCAGCCGATAGAAACAAGCCAATATACATGAAAGTGGATGAAGGCAAAGTAAAAAAAGAAGTGTGCATCACAGACAGCCAGATACTAGAGAAGATATCGCAGCCAGACATTGTGGTGATTGACGAAATGGACAGAATCTTCGAAGACAAAAGCCTGTCTCTGTCGCTCGAAAGGATACTGGAGTATTTCAAAGGCAGCCCGCAGTATGCTCTCTTCAGCGCAACGCACCACAGAGGAAACACGCACATAAGAAGCATTCTGAACAGAAAAGACATGGACACTGTGGAAGTACTGGGGGGCGTGTCTGACCACCTAGAAGACAGCAGACTGACAATAAATAATCTACACGTCCAGGAAGAAGTGAAAATGCCCATCCTTCTTTCTCTTCTGAAGAAAAAAGAGAACACAAAAGTGCTGGTGTTTGTAAGTACGTGCAAGAGATGCATTATGGTGGCAGAGGCTGTCAGAAAACTCGGAATGCCAATGGGCCTCCTCAACTCATCTGAGTCAGAGGAGTCAAGAGAACAGGTCGTTAAATCGTTCAAAAAAGGAGAAATATCCGTCCTCATATCGACCGATGTGGGGTGCAGAGGGCTGGACATCAGAGGAATTACCACAATTATTGAGTACGACTATCCAACATGCAGAAGCACGGGCGTGCACAGAGTGGGAAGAATGAACAGAGGAAAAGCGGAGATAGGAGCAATGTTCTCATTCATCAGAACAGCAGACATTTCCACGTATCTCGCATTCCTGAACCACATACACGCTGAAAAGCCCAGAGATGCCTCGAGAAAAACAAGACTGTGCTTCCACACGAACAGGTGCAGCATGGAGAACAGCCACAAGACGTGCATATACCTGGGACTCGGGACAGTTCCTGCATCTTTCTACAGCGGATCCCAGGAGCTGGCAAGAACAATAATCTGCGAAGATGACAGTTACGATAGATCTTATCTCAGGTACTCAAAGACAAACCCTGCTGAAAAGGTTGACTCGCAGTGGGTTGTGACTGCAATAAACATCAAAGAGATTCCGATACACCCTTTCTTCGGAGTGGCAGCTAACTCAATGGAGGAGTCCGTGAGAATGTACAAATCGCGGTACAACAAACTGATCACCTCCGAGCAAATGCAGAAAACAAGGAAAAGCAGGCCCGTGCTTATTAAGAACACCGCAGTTAATCTGGACAAGTTCAAAGACCCTTCCTTCATCCCGTACGAGAACATAAAGTCAAACACATTCGCAGTGGGCGTGGAGCAAAAGAGCGACAAGTCCGCAGAAATAAAGGAAAGAGCCAGAAAGATGAGGAAGCCTGCAGGACAGCTCTTCACAGAGTGGAAGAAAGACAACAGAGACAGACTCTGCAAGGGATACCTCCTTTCCCGGCCGCCTCCTGCATCAGAGGCAGGCGATGACGAAGAGAAGAAAGACAAGCCGCGAACAAGAAAGTCGGATGGTGACACGATCTCTGTTAAAAAGATATTTGAAGCAAGAAAGAAGAAAGAGAGAGAAGCAGGCAGGCGCAGACTGGTTGGCTCTAAGAGAACACCAAAGTACTGATCTTTGTGCTTCTTACCTACCGCTTAATAAATAACCGCTATATTCGAAATTCAAAAGTAATATTTTTCATTAGGGCAGAGGCGGCAGTGCCTCGGGAAGAAGAATCAGAGTAACCAATGTTTATTTAATACTGAAGAGGTCCTATGGCCTAATGGTTAAGGCGTCGGTCTACGGAACCGAAGAGTCGGGGTTCGAATCCCCGTAGGATCATTTTTCTTAGCTATTATGGCTCTACATTTTCCACTGCGTCTTTCTCGCCTTCCTCGCTTGCAGCTTTTGTCTTGTACTCCTCTTTCTGGCTCTCGCTCAAAGACTGCCACTTCTTCGATATCATCTGCGAGATCTCTTTGAAGGAGAGCGCAGGGGCTGATCCTCTTTCAACCGTCATCTTTGCTCTTTCTTCTTTTACAAATAAGTTGTATCCAGAGGGCTTTCTGTTGATCTGCTGCTTCTTTCCCTTTCCGTCCTTGGAGTTCTTCTGCTCTTTCTTCTGCTTCTGGACCTCCTGGTACTCGTCGGTCTTTTTGTACTCCTCGAGCTCGGCTTTGTACTTTTCAAACGCAGAAGCATACTCTTCGGAGTATTTCTTCTTTGCTTCTGGGGTCAGCTCTGCCCACTTTTTGCTGAGTATCTGCGTCTGCTCTTTTACCGATAGGCCCTGCTGTAGGTTTTTTCTTTCGTCTCTTAAAAACATGAAATATTCGGTGGTTGGCTTTTTAGGCTCATTTTCCCCTTTTATTTTCTTTAGTTTTCTTCCACTATTTACTGCGACAGATTCCCTTGCCATGCAGTAAAAAAATAATCCAATTAAATAGTAAAAAAATACGCGGCTTTTATTGGCGGGGTCTTGCCAAATCCTCTCAGAAAAGAGAAGAGCATCCCGAGAGGGCAGAGGGCATTTTTAAGGCTTCTGCATAAACATTCAATCTTCACTTTCCCATTTTAGCAAGCCAAAATACCGCTAAAATTCACTAACATTCTTGCTACTAGAGCATTCTCTGGAAGAACTAACAATCCTCAACTTACACTCTGCTTACTATCCCCTAGATCATCTAGACTAGACGCCACTGCACTCTCAAATTGCTTATCTATACAGGTTGTGTGATCTATTCACTCTCATCCATTATAAGATCAATGTGTAGAAGAGCTCAAGAACATCTGCGGTAAATTTATTTTCTAATTTGCACTACACACATTTGTTTAGCAATTAGATGTCAGCCACTGCGCAATCTTGCTATAAAAGAGACCACAAGATAGTCCTTGCATACTAAATGTACTGTGGCACTTTCGTACTGATAAATACTGGTGCAGTAAAAGTCTTTGTATAAAATCAAGCTAAACAGTGGATGTTCATTCTTTCTAGCTCTTTCTTGTATTATTATTATCTCAAAGTGTTGCTGATTCATGCTTATATTCTGTATTATGGTATGCTCTAGTGCATAATGTGCACCATATCTGTGATAATGTCCTTTATACAGTAACTGAAAGGAAAAAGAATGGAAAAGAAATACAGTACGTATTGATAATGCTTTTATTTAATAATATTCCTTTGGACTCAATCAGTCCGGTAGCATTGCAATTGGATACTTTATCTGTATCTTTGTTCTTTGGCTGTTTTTGTGTTTTATTTTCTCTTAGTTTAGCACTCTGTATGTTCTTGCCATCTCCAGCCATGCTGCTCTTTTCAGTCTTCTTTTTTCTTCGTTCACTTCGAGGACTGCTGCCTCTATTTCTGTTGTCATGGGTGTCCACCTGTTAACTCCCAGGACTTTGTGCCCCGCTGGAGCTGAGAATATGAAGAGCGCAGTTCTTGCGGCTCTTAGCCTGTCCACAGCTGTGGGCTTATTTCCCTTCTGCACATGGCCTAGTGTACACTGTCTAACAATGTATGTTTTTGTTCCATCTACCTCAAGGATCCTCGCTGCTGTGTCATTGCATATTCCCTTCATTGCTCCGTTTCCTCTGATAATTAGCTGGGGAATAGAGGACTTCTTGAATGCCAGCCCAAGAGCCTTGAGAGACCTCGTTAGCCGAGATAGCACTCCTGTTTCTTCAGGGAAGTAGCAATCAAGGGCTCCAACAGCCAGAGCAGTGGCTACACTCAGATAGCCGCACGCACCGCCATGCACCTCCACGAGATACGCCACACTCCGAGATAGTTCGATCTTCAGATTATCACACAGCGCTGTTATTGTGTCCAGTGCAGTGTCTGCGCCTATACTCACTGTGGTCCCTGGGACATTGTTGCTCACTGTGCAGGGAATGACATACACATTCTCAAAGACAGAGGAGAGTCTTTTTCCCTCTGCCAGAGCATCCAGCCCTCCTATAAGAACTATTGTGCCTATTTTTTTATCGTTCATTATCTCCTTCAGATGGAGCAAGTCTGTTTCCAGCTCTGATTTTTTGATTTTTGAGTTTCTTTTGATGAAATACGTGTGCTTCGTTAGATTTACTACTTTCTTCATGCGAGCACTTGCATAGTACTCCATTTTAGATAGAATTGTGTCAGCGCCAGCTCCCACCAGCCCTATCATAGCCACTGCATAGTTAGGCATACTCCCACTGCTTTCTTTCTCTTTCTTACTGACCTCCACACTGTCAGTCTCTTTTCCTTCTTTTACCTCTGAGTCTTTGCTCTTTTTGCTCTTACTAGCTCTTCCATTAGCACAATTCTTCTGTTTTCCATTCAGTGAACCACTTTCAAACGACTCGTACATCTCCACAAACTCTTTTCCTCGCACCTTCGCTACTCCATCTGGCTCTTTCTTTATTATTTCGTTGAACTGAATGCATCTGTTGATGCACACGAACAAATCCAGCACTCTTTCCGTATCGCCTGTGTATATGGCATACGCCCCAGGCCTGCTCAGGGCCACCTCTGCTGCTGCCACCCCAAGAGATGGCGCTATCAGCCTGTCTGCAGCACACGGGGATCCTCCGCGCTGAGTGTGCCCCAGTACAACTGATCTTGTTTCAATCCCCACTGCACTCATTGCCTGGCACACCTCCTCTGCCGTTACTTTTTCTCCACTCTTGTGTCTAGCTCCCTCCGAGAGTATTACGTACGTGCAGTGTCTCTCGCTCTTCTCTGTAACGGATTTCTGCAGTTTTTCTTTCCACTCTTCTCCCTGCGGGTACTCTGGGAGAAACACATACGAGGCATCTGTTGCAAAGGCTCCAGTGAGTGCAAGCCACCCGCAGTCTCTTCCCATCACCTCGAGCACAAATCCTCTCTTGTGCGAGGCCATCGTGGACTCTATGCAGTCGATTGCTTCGATTATTCTGTGCAGTGCTGTAGCTGCCCCTATGGATTCAGTCCCTGGTATGTCGTTGTCTATTGACCCAGGCACAAAGACCACCGATATCTCAGGGCATGCTTCAGCTATGCTTCCTGCTCCTTTCATTGTTCCGTCTCCTCCTATTATCACGAGCGCATCAATCTCTCTTTTTTTAATCGTAGAGACTGCTTTCTTAAGGCCTTCTTTAGTTGTAAACTCTTCTGATCTTGCAGACCTCAGGAAGGTTCCTCCTGTTTGCATGTGCTGGAATGCTTCCTGCTCTGTTATCTCCTGTATTTCATTTTTAATCAGTCCTTCGTATCCATTCTGCACTCCCAGCACTCTGGCTCCATTTCTCGTTGATGCCTTCACTATCGCCCAGATGGCAGAGTTCATTCCCGGCGCATCTCCTCCGCTTGTTATTATCCCGAGAGTCTTCGGAGAAAGTGCCGGGGAAATGCACACGTCGTTTCCCAGGGGGTCCATCATCTTGATTCTGAAGGGGATGTGGTGGTCTCTGTACGAGTGCGCTATCTCCACGTCGTCCTCCAGCCTAACTGTCTCCAGGTCTCTCAGCAGGTCTTTGTGTGTTTCAAGTATTTCCCGGTGGTTTTTAGCGCGCAGCGAGATTTTAGACTGCGCAGCAGAGACTATGCTCGTCTGCTCTGTTCCCTTTATCCGCAGAAGATTCTTCTGCACCGAAGACACTAGGCCCAGTGACTCGTAGAACTCCTTTACTTCGTTTCTCTTTTTCTTCGTGTCAAATATAAACTCTATCTTTACCATCTTTGTTTGTTTTGCTTACTATTTCTAATTTTATTTCTAATTTTATTTCTAATAACTCAATGGGAGTCCCTTCACTCTTTAGATGGATCGCTAAAAGATACCCCAAGGCAATATACACAGCAGCTAACCAGGACGTAGACAATCTGTACCTGGATCTCAACGGCATAATACACCCGTGCTGCCACCCCCGGAACAAAGAAGGCCCTTCATCAGAGAGAGAAATGTTTCAAGAAATATACAAGACAATAGACCATCTGGTGGCAATAGTTCGGCCGAAGCAGCTGCTGTACATTGCTGTCGATGGAGTGGCACCGCAGGCCAAGATGAACCAGCAGCGCGAGAGAAGATTCAAAGGAAAAGACGAAGAAGAGCACAATCCGGGCTTTGATCCGAATGTTATTACGCCAGGTACACCATTTATGTACGCGCTGCACTGCGGGATTATTAAATACATAGAGAGCAGACAGTCTGCAGGAACTAACGGGTGGAACCAGCTGGCAGTGGTGTACAGCGGATGCGATGTTCCTGGGGAAGGAGAGCACAAGATATACGACTTTGTGCGGAGTATAAAGGGAAGTGGCGTAAGACATGCAATATGCGGGCTAGACGCGGATTTAATATTCCTCAGTCTGGCATCGCACGAAAAATCCTTCAAAGTCCTTCGAGAAGACGTCTTTTACTTGGAGAGAGAAGAAAGATCAACCTGCAATCACTGCAAGAAAGACGGGCACAGAACAGGCAACTGCATTCCTGCAGAGTTTCCTCCGTACATCTACTTAGACATTGACATCATCAGAAAATATTTATACAGCGAGTTCACTGCGGCTATTAACGCAAAGTTTGACTTTGAAAGGATTTTAGACGACTGGATATTTGTGTGCTTTTTTGTGGGGAATGACTTCCTGCCTTCCATTCCCTCTATGGACATTAAAGTGAGCGCAATTGAGACAATCAGCATGTCCTATGTTAAAAATCTGCTTGTCAGACGCGAGTATTTGATCAACAAAAATAAGATAAACATAAACGAGCTGATTGTTCTTATGGATACGCTGGGAGCCTGCGAAGATAAACTGCTGCGCGCCAAATTTGCTGGGTACATTAAAAATACAAAGAGAAAGGGAGAGTCCCCAAGAGAGGAAGACTTGCGAATCAAATTGTTTGAAGAAAAAGGAAAGAACGAATACTACAGCAGGAAAATGCACGCAAATTCGCCTGCTGAGATTACCAACGCGTGCTTAGAGTACGTCAAGGGGCTCGCATGGGTGCTGCACTACTACCACAAAGGATGCCCTGCCTGGGGGTGGTACTATCCCATGCACTTTGCCCCGCTGGCGCAGGATATTTCAGATGCTCTGCGCAAAAACCCGAACATCTTATTCGACTTTGAGCTGGGGGCTCCCAGGAAGCCGCTAGAACAGGTGATGGCTGTAATGCCTCCTGCTTCATCCCACTGCATTCCTGCGGGGCTGCATCCTATTTTCAATGAGATGCCTGATAACTACCCGGACAGTGTGCAGGTGGACATGTTCGGGAAGTCGCAGCCCTGGCAGGGCGTTGTGCTACTTCCTTTTATGGACTGTGATAAGCTGATAGGCCTAGTTAAAAAATATTCCCAGAACATTTCCATGGACGAGATATACAGGAATGTGGAGGGACAGGATCTGCTGTTTATTCCGATGGCAAACAAGAACTATACGCTTGCTGAAAGCGTGTACACGAACTTCTCCAAGACATCGGGGATAAAGATCCTCAGCAAATTCTATAGTGGAAGGGCAACCATTCACTCGCAGGCCAGCATCCCCGGGTGCCAGGAAAAGCTTGTCGAAGAATCAAAGAATTTTGTTGTTAAGTCTATTTCCGTTGTTTTTGCTCCAGCTAAGAAGCAAATATACTAATGATAATATTAATGAACAATGCAACACTTGTTGCAATCAATAAATTCTCTTGCTTACTTTTTATCACCACTGATGCGAGCTTGTTCTCTCTGATTATTCTCTTTTATTGTCTTGGTTGGTTGGTAACTTACAGTGGTTTACTCTCTCTTACAGTTGCAATTTAAAAAATAACCAGGAGTTGAATAGTAGGCATTTTATTGTGCTCGGCTATATAGGACCAGTTGGGTAGTTAGATGAGATAGAATAATTTATTATACAGTGAAGTATTCTTTTATCTTATCAAAAGACCTCTCTCTTGTGCCAATTATTTCTTTTACTTTTTCAGTTATCTGTTTTTCAGTGGCTCTTTCATCTGTGCTGTTTGTGAAGCACTTGTGTATGTACTTTTTCAGGGCATCCCACACTCCTCTTTCGTGCAATATCCAGCTGTCTGGGTGTTCTTTTACTGCTAGAGCCTTTATGTATCCTAAAAACTCTACTAACGTGTCTGCCTGCTGGCCCAATGCGCTGTCTGTGTATGCCTTTCCTCTTTCCATGTTTGCTTCCTTTTCTATGCGCTCCTGCTCTTTTTGTATGGCCTCTTCCCTGTGGGCAGACTCTTTTCTAATTAGATCCATTTCTGTCTCACTACTATCCCAAATAGAATCGCCCATAAAATTAAAAATCTGTAAGTCTTCAATAAAAACCATACACAATTATTTTCAGCGCTGGATTAAATACTAAATGCAAAAAAGTGTTTATTTATTGCTTTGCAAGTTTATCAAGCTGATGGAGGAGAGGTAAAGATAAAGATAAATACCACCTTTCACAGCTATTTTAAACTGTGAAAAAGCAGAATGCAATATGCCAATCTTTGAATGCAAAGGAGTTTACAGACATATTTACATGCGATGCAATTGAATCTATGTGTAAAATAAATGCTTGCACAAGGACAGTCATTTTCACCGCACAACTTCTATATATGTTTTATTTTTTTAGTATGGATAGAGATGCATGTATTCCTGCCGATAATAGCTATAACGAGTACTCTATTCATAGGAGTGGGGGCAGGAAGTGAAGGCAGTGGTGTTTGTCCATTCACAGAGGATTACATGAAGACAAGGGATCCTTCATACAGTGAAAGCGATAGGATGCTTATCTGGGCCATATCTAAATTTGCAGAAGAAAATAGGTATATTAATGGCGAAAGAAAAGCTGCTGAGTTTTTAAAAAATAGAAGCTCTAGCAATGAGGGCAATAGTAGCACTGAGAGCACACCTGCATGCAGTATGTTCTTTGAGAACATTAAAAACCTGTTTACTGCACCAAATGATGAATACTACACTTTTATAGCAAATCCTTACGAAGACATTAGAGAAACAAAACATAGACACTGCTTTATGCTGAAAAATAAAGGATACCCCCAACCCACTCCAGAAGTTCTGATCATTAGCTCGAGCGAGCTCTTTTTCTATCCTGATTATGCACACCCAAACGAAAGCCATTCTGCTGGTTGCTCCGATGGCTTTATCTACAAAGACAACCCAATTGAATCTATACTTAGATCATGTGCTAACAGCAGTGAAAAATCATTCAATGTTCTCAACTATCAGCATGAGAGATATTTAACTTATTGCCAGACCATTAAAGATGTAAAAGAGGCCTATAATTCTTTGTATGCTCTCTTTTTTCAGGTAGATGTTGCAGAGAAGAGTTTCTACAGAGAGAAAATGAAAGAGCTGTATAAAGAATGCAAGGATCTGCTAAAAAAAGGAAATACGAGCGAAATTCTGAAAGAGCTGTCTCTGGTTGCCAAAAAGCTGTCAAAACAAACACTATCAGGAAAAACCAAAGAGAGCGACAAACAGCTGTTTAAATCCTTGACAGATGCCATGTTCAAAAAAGAAAAGATAAAAAGTCTCTGGGAGAGCCCATTCATCATAAAAAACGATGCTGAAACTAAAAAAACACACAGCGTGTGGATTGAGTGTATGCCTGAAGGCGCTTCACACCCAGTGAAACAGAAGTACTCACTCTCTGATCCCTTCTTTATGTTCCTCGTATCTTCAATTTTGGATGAAAAGATTGTTGATATCTGCAACTGTGAAAAAGTATACTTCGTAAACACCCCGCCAAAACAATAAAATTTTACATTTCATCTGTTCTCTCCAAGCACTTTTATACTCCTACAGTAAATAGACTGAAAAATAAAAATACTTTCATGCACATTATGGATGCACTTTAGAGAGCACTAAAAAGCAGCAATAAATCTTGTAAGATCAACACCATTTAATTAAATAAATCTATTTGGACAGTTTAGGATTTAACGATTCTCTCTATCTTGTCCTTGGAAATGCCTGCTTTGACAAGGATCTCTATGACCCTGTGGTCTTCTGTTGTTTGGACAGACATGTCTTCTGTGCCGCTTCCGTTCTTGATGAGACTGGACCCGCATGCGATTGTTTTTGAGCACTTCTTTGCTAGCTCTTTCATTGCTGCTTGGCTCATGAGCAGGTGGAGATTCCTCACAAGAGTTACCTTCTTGTTTCCAGACACTCTTTTCGTTGTGACAATAATCTTTGCGTCTACTTTCGGCTGTGTTTCTTTCTTGGCTCCCTTGCACACAAGAGAATACTCGCAGTACTCTGGGGGGAATCCGCACTTTTCGCAGTATATTTGGTTCTCGTTCATAAAGAAATTTTTTTACTTCGATGGCTTTAGATGACCAGCTGGACAGCTCGCAAAATAGCCCAATTTTCTGCCTAGATGAAATACAGAGCAATCTGTACAAGTTGCTGTCTCTTTTTTACAGCGGGATAGGGATAATACAGAGAGACTCTCCGATAGACGGGGAGATTGAAGACGCAGATGCGATACTGAGGCTTGAAAACAACATAAAAGAAATTATAGGGCAGTTTATAACAACAAAAGACAAACTAGCAGCACAGATAGAAGCACTAGAAGGTGCTGCTTCAGAGTTTGGCTCGCTAGACAGCCTTATAGAAGAAACAAGAGCCCTGGACAAAGCTTTAGCAGACAAGGTAAATATTCTGGAGCTAGAGCTTCCTCTCTATAAAGAGCATCTAGACCAGCTGATAAAAGAGGCGTGCGAAATATAAAGTCTTAGCAGAAGGATTGATAGCAATAAAAATAAATATAGTATTTATTGTACCTCTTTGTAGACAGATGCTATGTACTAGAGGCTAGGAATTGGTTTATTCAGTTACACTTACAGTTATATCCACTTAAAAATATTTTAATTATTTACCTGCTATTAACCAGTTTGCTGTTTATCTCTTGAGTTATATACGGTAGGATTTTGCGGTACACATTTGAATAGAATGATGATATTTGATTTATATAGCTATATACCTTGCTGCATGCATTCCACTCTAATTTAATGCCGTTTGATAGACTGCTAGGCGAGTGCTGATCATTTTCATTGAATATAATACTAGTGTACGTGTGCTCTGGGTTCTCATGGTTTGAGCACATTAGGAAAATGCAGATTCTATTGCTTTCTAGATGAAACATCTCCAGCCATGCAGCCACTATCTCTATGGATTTGCTTACAGCGTAGTTTGCTAGGTTTCCACTTATTTTTATTTCTTCTGCCTTTATCAGACTCTTCACAAACCTTTTTTTCTTTGCTTTCTCTCTGAGGAAGCTGGTTGTGTGGTCCATCCGAGTGATAGAGGGCATGTTTATGGCCAAAGTGTGCACAGAAATAATATTCTTTGGTATTCTGCTTATCTTCTCAAAGAGCCATGCATCGATCATTATGTAATTCTTTACGTTCTGCAGGATATCTCCCACAAATAGACACGCCATCTTGTTCAGCAATGAAATGTTTTGAAGGGTGATGCTGTGCAGAGTTTTTGACTTTAAAAATCTGCACTTCACCGAACATAAATCCTGCATTTCCATAAAATGTGCTTCTTCCAGCGGGGCACTCTCTAAAAATCTGTCCATAAACAGAAGAGACTTTGCATTGCAGTTTTTTATCTTTATAGAACTTAGATTGGGCACTTCCCATTTTTCGATAATCGTTGATATGGCATCCTGCGTAAGATCCAGAAACTGCACGCTTTTAACGCTTTCTGATATCGTCGTGCTCCCTGAGTCTAGACAAACCATTCTGTCGTCGTTTGTGTTTCTGTCCCTTGGCACAAACGAAATGTTTGAGAAAACTACGGTGCTTGGCTTGAAATGGGCCAAGATGAAGTCTAGCTTTCCTTTTTTCACTTTCGTGGGGTCCTGTGTGTGAATGTGCAGTGTTGAATTTGTGATGGTGTATTTTTTAAGCGTGTTTCTAACGACCTTTGTCAGAGGCAGAGACAGATCAATGTACAGCGGCGTGTTTTTACTCTCAAAAACAACGCCATTATTCTCTACATCTATTTTAATTTTTGAATATTCCACACTGTTACTTCTGTCCGTGCTGTGTCTCAGAAACTTTTTGACTTCATAGAGATTAACTTCTGCAGCACCACCCGCAGACCTCACTTTGGAAAGTGACAAAATGTTCAATGCTGCCACGGCACTGAGAATACTTTTTAGTGCAAGAGTTCTGTAATGTAGCATCAATCTGCACTCCTCCACGTCTTTTATACTCTCGGGTTATATTATTTTTTTAATTATCTATTTCAGAAACATTTACTGCATGGTTTTACTGAATATAAAACCAAATTATTGATCACTTGCATATATCACACCATATTGATAAGAGCAAATAAAACCTGAAGATCAAATAGTATACCTTTATTAGTACATCTTTATTTACTATTAACTTAAAAAAACATAAACCCAAGCGATGATTTCTCTTCCGTTTTTTCTATTTCTGCTTCTATGCTTTCTTTCAGAGAAGGAGACAGCGCAGAGCTGTCCTTTGCAAGGTATGCTGATGAAGAGTCTTGGGTTTGCTTCTGTTTGATTTTATGGCATGTCTGCTGTATCCTGTTGATGAGCTCGTGCTTCTTCCCCGTGTACGACAGGCCAAACTCTTTCATGATGCTTTTCAGCTGCTGCACAGTCAGGGCATCATAGTCTATTCCGCTTACTCTGTTCATGAAGCTGTCGCTTATTTTGAGAAACTCTTTCTTTTGCGACGGGCCTTCAAAGCTCGTGGTGGAATTTAGGTACAAAGGAAGAATCGAGTTCAGCGTGCTTTTTTCAGTCATTGGCGCAGGCTTCTTCATGACTCCCAAGCACATTTTTTGTTTCTTTGTTTCTGGTTTGCGCGACATGTACGGAGCAATATCCTGTTCATACATTCCGCTCTTGTCCTCGGGCACATAGCTCCACGGCGCAACATACGGTCTTCTTCTCTTTTTTGTGTACCATGCGTCTATGTACGACATTTGCTCTGGCTTATCAGTGTATGCGACATTGCTCATCTGATTAAAAGAGTACAGCTTTCTTTCTTCAAGAATCTTCTGCAGGTCTTCAGAGAGAGAGAGAGACGTGTCCATGTTCAGCCCTTCGGAATTGTCTCCAAGAAACTCATCAAGAGCAAAGAGCCTGTTGGCATTGGTCTTCTTGTAAATATTGTGTTTATCTGATTCTGAAGCTCCCATACACCTTTGAATGACCTTCTATTAATGCAGTCGTATAAAACCACAGTTTCAGAATGAAATGCAACACTGTTTTAAGAAAGAATTTATTTATACTCGGAAAAACATATTTGACGCCTTTATAATCTGCTGAATTTTGCTTCCTTTCCCTCCAAACTGCTCGCTTCCTTCCTTTACGGGCTTTTCCTGCAGTGATTTACACGCATTTACTCCTATTTGTTGGTGTGTGTGTGGTAAAGTATCCAAAGCATGTTTCATCTGCGGGATGTCTCCGAGTAAGCTTGACTTCCACAGGTGATCAAGGGTTCTAACGCACGCAAACTCTCCCGACTCTACCACAGCTGCTAGCTCTGCCCTGTTTAGGCAGTATCTCCTCGTGTCGCCAGACGCCAAAAGATGCAGCAGGAAATACGAGAATATGAGATCGCTCTTGTCTGTGGGCTTTCTAGATTCGATGATCTCGAGTTTGTACTTCTGTGCCAGATGGAAGAAATCCGATGTTCCCTGGTTTATAAGTTGGAGGCATTCGCTTTCTGTTGTGCTCATAATACAAATAATAAAAGTGAGAATAATTTACACAGCTTGAAAAATTTATTCTTTTTTAGCATAGCCCTGTCATAATGAGATATTGCATAGAAAAAGGAAGAGTAGTAGAATTTAAATGTAAAACAATGTGCACCAAAATCGGAGTAATAGTAGACTTCGTCACCCAGCAATGCTTTGTCATCCAAGTTGTCTGCGCCAAGACCGGAAAAGCTCTAGAGCGTGAAAAAATAACCCAGAAAAACATTCTTCTGACCAGCCACGTAATAGAGTTCGACGACTCCGAGGAGGAAAGAGGAGCAGCCTTTGTCAAGTCCGTTGAGGAGAACATCAGAGCCGCAGTTGAAGAGAAGCAGGCAAAAGAGTGCTTCCAGAAAACAGTAAGACTAGAGGAGAGAAAAGAGATGAACGACTTTGAAAGATTCATGAAAGAACAGGAAGATCTCGCTAGAATAAGAATCTTGAATGCTCACGGATTCGAATAATAAATTATAATCCAGATTACTTACTGCATCACCCAGTCTTCCGTTATCTTGCACACACTTTTTCCATTGACCAACAATTCGAATATTCTCGGAAAAACTTCTTAACTATTTCTTCTTTATTTTAATTACACTCTATCCAGCTTCGTCTATGTACTTTCCTGTTATTCGCACAGCACGGGATACAGGCAGCTTTCCTTGGCTTTTCATGTTCTCTTTGAGAAGAGTGGCTGGCACACTTATGCTGCCTCGGAGTGCATACTCTTCAGCGGGCGTTATGTCTGACGGATCGTCATAGGAGGGAAGCAGCTTTTTCCCGTTGGCAAGAACCTTTATCTCGCTGTACAGTGCATATTCATTCCTTAGCAGTACTTCTGATATGTTTTCCTTCTCTTTGAGCAGCTCGAAAATCTCATCATATGTGTGTGTAAGAGCTATATTTATTCTCGTGTTGTCGTAGATGGGATTGAAAGTTATGTTGGCGCTGTGGAGGCCGTAAAGCTCCCTCATTGTTGTCTCATCTTCTAGCGTTACAACATTCAGTAGAATATTGTCTTTAAGCAACTGCTTTATAACTTGCACTTCTTTTTTCATTTGAGCTGAAAATTTATTCTATTCTTTTATATTTTGCTGTATTTGCTGTTTTATCACCGCTAACTCTTATCTGCATCAAATAGCTGTACAAACCCTGTGTAAATACTCTGAAGTATCTGTAGTAGATCTAACTATCTCATAAATAGTTAATGTGTGCTGATTGAAAGTAGATTCTCAAAGCTTTCT